GAGTACTGTGCTTTATCATCTGGAGAGAGAAAAGGGTTTTGGATGAGATATTATTCAAAACCGAACTTCTGAGCGACATTTCAATGATGTTCATTCGTAGTTAATTTAATTATCTACTGTTTATGACATCGTGCTTACGATGCATAGCTGAATCTGAATTCCACTGTTTCAATGTTTCAATTTTCTCAATCATTACTGCGAGATTTCCAAATAGTTCACCCAAGGAATCTCGAAGAGTAGCTTTGAAATTTACATCTGATGATTGCACATTCGGTTCCTGTATTGGTGTTCGTAAAGAAAAACAGAATTTACAGCCGTCTATCAATTTACATAAAGATTTCTCCAAGCTCTAAAAGTGCGACCCATACGATCACAAAACTTTGCCACCGTTTACAGTTATAATTTGAGAACGATCCTTGAGACATTAAACCATATCTGTCACTCATCTGGTTGATGAACGTTTTTCAGTTGTGTATTAATAGACCGATTCTTTGCTTTCTCTCATTGTCAGGTTCTCAAGGTCAAATAAGTCTTTAATGTCATTGACGTAGCTGTCAAGCTTTCCTTAAGGAATTAGAGCGTCACCAGGTAACAAGTGCCTTCAGAGGCAAAACACATGGGTTAGATGGATCAGTGCCATATTTTTATATTACAATGATATTCTATCAGAATTCTATCTTTCAACGGCTTGTTAGTGCGCTTCTGATTATGCTAAGAAGCCCTAAACATGGCATCTTAGGTCCCAAATGCGCTAGAATACCGTAACGCCTTCATTTACCTAGCAGCGTTACGCTATTTTTTCGTGATCAACAATTTGAGCCGCTTGCATAAGCAGAACCTCTCTGTTTTGTGCTGTCCACTGCATTCACGGCTTTTCAACTGCTTTGCTACATGGTACCAGTTACTGCACTGAAGATGGAAATGTTCTTCTTTGACAGAATATTTAATTCTACCTTGTTTCCTCATGTTTCATGCTTGTTTTCCTGGTCTACGTCTGCTAAATGTTTCGGGTCACGGGCTGGAGTAAATGTTCAAATATTTGTCTAACATGGCGAATATGCTTCTGCTCGTCTCCATATGTATTGAGGTCACCTGTGCCCGGAAAAGAATGATGTCGCTCCCTAGTGGTCCTGCCATTCAGCCTTCATTGTTCGTCGAGGTTAACACTTCTCTCCGCAGTTCAGCGATCGTTCTTGCTTCTTTCTTAGAAAAACGGTCCCCATGCCGTACAACAACAGTAACCAGACAGAGGCAAGCTAAAAGCGGATTTCCGTGAGAAGAGTAACTCCTTTCTGTTAGTTTTCAAAAGTACTCGAGACTACGGTAATTTTTCTATTGAACCTGATTGGAGATTCTGTAGCTGAAGTACTTAAATTGGTCAACCTCCTGAACGGCTTCACCTCAGTGTTCGACTTACAAATCAGCTCTGCCGGATTGGATCCTCATTACTTCAACGCTGGGGCTTTAAGAAAAAGACAGACTTTCATAGCTATGTTGAATATGGAAGTCCCGCTTCTCGTACTCCTTACCTGCAATATGATATAAGACAATATCATCTGCGTAATGCAGGTCGGTAAGATGTCTGGTCAGATATTTTTACCTGCACTTTCCCTCTAGGAGACGTTCGTCTTAAACAGGATCAGCAATGTTTCAGAGAAGAAAGTCGCGAACGATCTTCAATAGCCACGCGGAAGCACATCTCGCTTTCAAACTCCACATTTATTAGGGAACCAGTCAGAGAGCTCTCCTTCAACTTTGACAGCAGAAGTGGTTCCTGCATACACCTCTTCGGAAGTAGAAGCGATGTGCTCAGGCATCCCGAAATTTTCCACGCCCGAGGACGATGCAATGAGTCATATGCGGCTTTAAGATCTATGAAACTGGCACGTTAAGGCAACTGAATTGCTCAATGACCCTACGCAAAGCAAGCATTTTTCTGGTAGGAGTACCCCCCATCTAAAATTCTGCTTGACCTTGTCGAAGTTTCCCCTCAATTGCCTGCCTCCAGGATAATTCAGTGGCGAATTTCCAGGAGGTCCTTCAGGGCTACTAATAATTGAATGCTGCTGACAGAGCGCCGGCGAGACAATGACTTAATTCCTAAAGTTAATTCCGGTACTGCTGTTAAACTTTAAATTTACCTGTTTAATATTCTTTACTTTTAGTAACTTACTTCTAAAATTTTCTGCTGCACTGTTATCGGAAGCTCTATTTTCACTACTTGAGAAGAGGCGGTGGGCGACAGCTCTTGACAATCACTTAAAACTGCATCTTCGCTCTCGCTGAACGCCTCGCGCGAACACACCTGTAGCCGGACGTTTCGAGTCAACCAATACCTAAAATTATTTAACGGTGATAATATGCTGATGTTGCTGATAATGAGTATTCATATGGTAATCAATCAGATATCAAAATCAATTGCCCTTGTACTGATCTGATAGTGGTGCTTGATAGTAAGATTTTGCTTATTGAAATGAGAACAAAACACAGTTCATTTATGCACGACGCAAACGATTTGATCATTCAGAAGATTGGCCAGTACCGACGACTCGGTCTGCTCCTCGCGGACTTCCTTCAAAGTAAAAAAGTCGATTGGTTTCGGGAGTCCTGTATGCCGTTCGGTGTTCGTACTAATAGAATCAAAAGGCCAACCTTCACCCTCTCGACTTTGAAGAAGACCCATGAAGCATGAGCTGAAACGTCAGTACTGTTCAATCAGCCAACTGCGTTGTGTGTAAATGAACCGTACTCTATGCTGTTTACAGTATGACAACAAATTCATAGGCGAAATGCTTAACCTTCTAATATGTTTGATTTTATTTATGAGTTGGATCAGAATAATACTTTAAATGGCTCCCTTCTGTATTCCCATTTTCGGAGGTCTCGTCCTTTCAAAGCTGGTCTCTTCAACCGTGTAATATGTTTCAAAAGTTATAGTGGTCATCAATCGTAGCAATTCCACTAACATCGTCTCCAAGAACGCTTTTCTAATTGATGATACCCTGTTCTCCATACCTCCATGCAGACCTCTCTTAAGCTCTTTACGACTTATTGCATGTATGAAATGCTGTTTCATACCGTGAATTTATATCACGTCTGCCTAAGATACCGCGATCTAAAGACATAATCTGTATATCAAGAATCAATGGAAATTTAATTTAACGCTTATAAAATTCTATCATGTGAGCTAATGCGAATGGCAGCTGCAAATAATAAATCTTGCACGCTCTGGTATAACGAAACCAGGGCGTCTTACTGTCCCCGTTGTTCACAAGTCAGCGTCTTGCTACCCGTTTCTCATCTGGTTGTATTGATGCACAATGAGACGAATTACTTGCTCAAACGAATTATCAATGAGTATGATATAAATCTTACGCTGACCATAGGTTTATAGCCTTGCATCTGTAAAGTGTTAGACAAACTATTTCTCAGTTGCATTGCAACCATGAACTTTGCCCTTTACATTAGCGACTTTGCTGGGAACATCGCAGGTATGTTCACAAACAAGCTGAGCCGAGTGGTTCAAGGGATTTATTTTCATTGAGTGACAATTCATGCAAATGGGTTCCCGATACTTTCTTAGCCAATCAGCAGTGATGTACTGAATGATAACTTATCGTTGAAATCCAAGTCGTAAATGCTGGAATTCAAACAGATTGTCTCAACAGGACTCTGAACGAAGTCTCTTACCTGAGGCTCAGAACAATGTTCGTTTTCGAACATGGTATTGAGCAAGAGTAAAACTGAGCTTCATTCGAGGGCATCGTTCGTTCGCTGACCACAGCCAAAAAGTTAGAGTCTGAAATATTTAAAATTCAAAAAAAATAAATTGTTATTATAACCAACGTACCGGGTAGTGTAGCTCTTTTGCCGAAGTGAGCACTAAAGGTAGTCGGATTGACCCTGCCTCGAATCACATTCCATTCAAAGTGATCGAATGGCGGCTTGCCGTTTTTCCAGCAACAAGACGTGTCAAAGGTGCACTTTCCCACTTGTGCGGGCGAAGTTTCGAAATTATAGCTTTCAAAGGCCGAGTGATCGTACGGCACCACGTGGACACC